TGGACACAGTGTTGAAAGCTGTTACCAAACTATTATTACATTTCCTTACGGATAGACATAAAATATAGTTAATATATTGTTTGAAGAGGACAGATTATTTTCAGTTTTTTGACTGCAGGCTCGAAGATTCCACTTCGAGAGGTGGATTTTTCTTTGTTATTTGTTTTTTTATTTTGTTTTTATTTTGTTAATTGATTAGCAACAGCAGATCGATCCAGCCCAAAATGGACGCAGTGAAATATCTCGGGAAGTAAAGGTGGCCAGTGTGATGTTGTTCACATCATCTTCGAGTGCAAGCTGGTTTATGAAAATGTGAGTTTAACTGCATATACCGTGTTTTCCATGGCGTGCACATTTTCCGTTTTCTTTATAGTATGTACCTAACTGATTCAGCGATTACATAGTCTATTGGGATCTTGCTCGAAAAGAAAGTGAAGGTTCAATTCCCAGCAGAGTATGTTATTTTATCAATACCGGTAGCTGTCGTGGACTGAAACATCATTATGATACCAGTGCCAATATGGACTATAGCAACAATAAGGTTGGGGGTGGGGGGTTGGGGGGGGGGGGATAAAAACATAAGAAACAAAATTTCTAGCTGGAAGACAGGGACAAAAACGACAATATTAGGAAACAAGCTGTGAAGGACACGCGTTAAACTTTATCAAGAGACAATCTACCAAACAGTTTGGACATGTGTCAGTGAACCACAGAGATTCATAACTGAGATAAATAAAAGCAGAGCTATATAGGTCGCCCACAGAAGCGGTGGATAGATGGAATAACTGAGACCAAGAATGCCAGCATGTTTGCGAAACGTAACAAAGCTTGCACCTAATCATCATCACCATGTAGCAGATCCTTTGTAGAACGTTGCTCTCATCACGGTCTGTCTAAAAGAAACTCCGTATCTCGCCAGCTCGCCTGTCTCATGTACTTTCATACTCAAGGAGTTACTTATATCGTGTGCCCATCTTTGTGTTGGTCGGTCCCTGCCCCTCCTTCCTGGTACCATGTCTTCTGTTATTATTTTTTCCAGTTCGTCGTGGCGCTTGATATGACCAAAATATTTCAGCCTCTGAGGTAAAAGGATGGCTGTCCTGGGGAAGTAAAGACGGCCGGCGCAATGATGCATTTCCCACCCAGTGCCAAATGGTCTGTAAAAAATATGACACGCTCTTTCCAAATGCCCGATGCGCCTAAAGCGTGAAAAGTGATCTTTACTTTTTTAATTAACTTACACAGAGCAAGGTATAGTAACTTCTACAAAAAATGCTGAGAAGCTTCTTTTCAAGATTTTTAACAGCTGCGTCTTGAGTACCCTATGTAAAGTAAAGGTCTCTTTTCCACGTCTTTAGCCTATAGGGCATATAGGGCTAGACCTATGTTTTTATAGACCCTTCGGCATAAGATAGGTGATGTGGTCAGTATCACCATGGTCGCCTTTACTTCCTGGGACTGCACCAGGTACCCACTCGAGGCTGGGTCGACCTGGGAGACAAGGTCATTGTTGAAAAAAGTCCGGCTCCGCCAGGGAGCGAACCCACGACCTTCCGATCCGTACGCGAGCGTCTAGCCGCTACGACACGGCGTTTCCTGTTTACCCTGTGTAGTAAAGCTAATTGTAAGTTAAGCATTTAGCTGTTCTGTTATTTTATAGATTGGTCTATTGTTTCGGAATGCACTTTACTAACATAACCAGTACGTGTTTATTGTACACATAAATGTAGACTTAAGTTCAGCATCACATTTTTTGACATTCGAATCTTTTCACGGGTTAGATTTTCGAACAGACTTTGGTCGAATGCTTGTTTTCCCCATCTGAACATTACATATTTATTTATCCAGAAAATTTACAAAACCGTACGAAATGAGAAGAGATTCGACCTCCAGGTTATTACCTGATGATGAAGCCAGCGAAACGTTACCGGCCAATCAGACTATGACTTCTTCGGTCAGCCGTATCAAAGATAAATGTCCATTTATAATAATTAACCTCATCGTTGTACTGTTGGGAGCCTCGGGTCGTTTCCACACTCCAGTATTGGTTCAGTATCTGTACCAAAGATACGCTGATGAAATTTTTGGCAATGCTAGTGTCAAAACATCGAGGTAAGACTTGTGAGATGCTGTGTTCTTAAATCTGTGTATCCTCGGAGTTATGCCATTCTCTTGATCTTCTTTGATACCCACCTTCTTTACCAAAGATACTCAAAAATAAAAAGAGGGCGGACCCTTGAGACCATATAAATATTATATATGTATAATAAACACAAAAGTAATGTTATGATTAGCTCTCATTGAAAGAAGTAGAAAGATAGAAGGACACACTAGACAACATAAAAACCTAAAGCTATAGTTACCGCGCTGGGAATTGACCATTTCACCTCCAATTAGCGTGTGCGCCTCTCTATGGTTAACAAGTGCACTAAGAACATGATTAACTAGGTACCAACTCGGTAACTATAGATTTCGATTTGTATGTTGTCTAGGGTGTCCTTCTATCTTTCTAATTCTTTCTGTGAGTGGCGATCAATACATTAATTTTGTGTTTATGTGTGTGTTTGTGTGTGTGTGTGTGTATATATATATATATATATATATATATATATATATATATATATATATATAATCTGAACTAAAACAGAGAGTTAGACCCATAGCCGAACAATGGTTGAGTGCATTACAGTTCGGTTTCGGAAAAGGCAGAGGATGCACAAATGCATTATTCCCTCTGAGGCAAGTGTGAGAGAAAGCCGTATAATACCCAACAGAATATTGTATTTGTAGATCAGGAAAAGACTTTCGATAGAGTGGATAGAAACAAACTGTGGTCTCATCTTGAGAACTACGGGGTACAAGGACAGTTACTAGAGAACATCATAGCCATGTACCACACAAGCCAAAGTGCAGCAGGAACACAAGAAGGCATATCAGATATGTTCAGTCAACACAGGTGTGAGATATGGATGTGTGCTCTCCCCACTTTTATTTAACATTTATATAGACAGAATATCTAAAGAAGCAAGTTCTGATACAGACAACATAGACTTTTATAATCATGAGGAAGAACACACATCAGAAGAAGTAATCGATACACCCACATAAAACGAACTATTATTTGCTGACGCCCAGTGCTTGTTCTACCCTAAAGAAGATAGACTGCAAGATCACCTGAACAGTTTAAGCTCAGCATGCCGTAAATATAACATGAAGATCAATGCAAACAAACAGAAACAATGCAAGTTAATAGAATCTATGGCCCACTACACATACATGGTTCTGGTATGAATTAGGTTAGGAAGTTTGAGTATCTAGGAAGTATGATCAGAGAATATGGTAGAATTGACAGAGAAATAGAAACCATATGTCAGAAAGCAAGTGCCCTTATGTACCAATCTTCACCATTATTAAGACATCGAAGCATAACTATGAGTGCAAAGAGACAGATTGTAAACTGTGTATTCATTCCAAAATTAGGCTACCAGTGTCAAACATGGACACTATCTAAATCTCGTATACGCAAAATCACCACCTGTGAGATGAGATGCCTGAGAAAAGCAGCCAACCTAACCATTCGAGATTGAGTGAATAATGAAACTATCAGGCAAATTGTGGGAACGACACCTTGTACTAGATTCATCGAGAAACAGCAGATCAAGTGGTTTGGCCATCCCGTAAGAATGCAACAAGATCAAATACCGTCACAAGCACTACATCTCAGAAGATCAGCTACAAGAGCAAGAGGACGGAAGAGGAAAACATGGATCAAAAAATTAAAGACGCTCTACGCCTTCACGGCATGACAATAGCCAGTGGCAGCCAACGTGCACTGGTTTGCAAATTATTCCTCCCCAATATATATATATAACGGGAGTCGCAGTGGTGGAGCGGCTAGACGCTCGCCGCAGGTCGGAAGGTCGTAAGTTCGCTCCCTGGCGGAGCCAGATTTTTTTCAAAAATGACCTTGGCTCCTAGGTCGACCCAGCCTTGAGTGGGTACTGGGTGCAGTCCCGGAAAGTAAAGGCGGCTGGCGTTTTGCTGACCAAATCGCCCATTTGGTGCCGATTGGTCCACAAAATATAGGTCTAGCCCTATATGCCCTAGACGGCTAAAGGCGTGGAAAAGGGTCCTTTATTTTTGTTATATATGTAAATAAAACCTATGTACACGTTAATACGCCCGTGTGTCACCGGGGCCATCACGGGAAGCAAAGAATAGTGACACTGCACCCTACCAGGCATGTCGTAAGAGGCGACTAAGGGTAGGGTTGGGCTTGAGGTTGGCTACCTCATCCTGTAAAAACCATAGCCACAAAAACCAACCAACCATGGATAAGTCAAAAAGAGAAGCAAATAAAATCCAGCCAACCAAGATGAGGGGAGGCTCTTCAAATAGAAGAAGTATGACACGGTGTGGAGAAAGCCGTAAGGAGTCCGGATCGTTGACTTACCTCCTCTCAGCTAGGAAAACCTCCAGAATTGGCACCTGGAATGTTAGAACTCTCTATGATATAGGGAGAACAATGGAAGTAGCAAAGGAAATGAAACATTTTAGAATTAGTATTTTGGGGTTATGTGAAAATAGATGGACTGGGACAGGGAAAAGTATTCTTAATTCAGGAGAAACTATTTTGTTCTCAGGACACACGGAGGAAAATTCGCCGCACAGTGAAGGAGTGGCCCTGATGCTATCAAAAGAAGCAGACAGGGCACTAATAGAATGGGAAGCTGTGAGTCCCAGAATAATAAGAGCATCTTTTAGAACAGTAAAACAGAAAGTGAACATGTCGGTAATACAGTGTTATGCACCAACAAATGATAAAGATGCATCTGTTAAGGAAGATTTTTACATGCAGCTTCAAAATATTATAAATAATGAAAGAAAGGGCAACTTAAAAATTTTGATGGGTGACCTGAATGCTAAGATAGGATCAGACAACACAGGTTATGAAGAAATTATGGGGAGATATGGTCTAGGAGTAATGAATGAAAATGGAGAATTGTTCACAAATTTTTGTGCAGGTAACCAGTATGTTATTGGTGGAAGTATTTTTCCCCATAAAAATATACACAAGGCAACATGGGAATCACCAGACCATAAGACAACTAATCAAATTGACCACATATGTATTAGTAAAAGGTTTAGATCATCCCTTTACGATGTTAGGGCTTTCAGAGGTGCCGATGTATTTACTGACCATTTCCTGGTGATAAATAAAATCAAGTTGAAACTAAAAAGATATATAACATCTTATAATCATAGAAACCAATATAATGTAGGCTTTCTCAGAGATAAAGAAATTAAGGAACAGTTCTCAGTTACGGTCTCTAATAAGTACCAGGTGTTGCAGCAGCTAGCTGAAGATGTCAACACAGAAGTCTGCTGTGATCAGATCAAATTAATCTGGAATGAATCTTGCGTAGAAGTTCTTGGCAAGAAAGAAAGGAAACATAAAGCATGGATAACACCAGAAACCATTAAACTGACTGAAGATAGGAAAAGTAAAAAGGCAGAATTAAACAATAGCAAAACTAGAGCTGCTAAAGCTAGAGCTCAGGAGAATTACACAGAAGCCAACAAGGAAGTTAGGAGGCATATAAGGGCAGATAAAGTGAAATATCTAAATGATCTAGCACAAGAAGCGGAGACAGCAGCAGCAAAAGGAAACCTCAGAGAACTTTACAGTAACACAAGAAAATTAGTAGGTAAATATAGTCAGCCAACTGGATCAATCAAAAATAGTCAAGGAAAGGTACTTACTAACACTAAAGATCAAATGGACAGATGGGTTGAATATTTTGAAATGCTTCTAAATAGACTAGGCCCAGAGGTTCCCCCAGATATCCAGCCTTTAGAAATGGAACTGGATATCAACTGTGAGATACCATCCAAAGAGGAAATTAGAAAAGCTATAAATCTTCTTAAGGAAGGAAAGGCGTCAGGCCCAGATGGTATCCCAGCTGAAGCCATCAGGACCAACATAAACACATCAACAGAATTGCTACATAGATTATTCAGTAAAGTCTGGGAGACCGAAGAAATACCTGCAGACTGGAGAGAAGGATATCTTGTGAAACTGCCCAAAAAAAAGTGATCTACAGGAGTGTGAAAACTATAGAGGAATTATGTTGCTGTCAGTTCCTGGAAAAAATATTAAGTAGAATTATTTTGGAAAGATTAAAAGATGCTATTGATAAAATGCTAAGAGATGAGCAGGCAGGTTTTCGGTCAAACAGATCCTGTACTGATCAGATAGCCACATTACGTATTATAATAGAGCAAAGCATTGAACTGAACTCACCACTTTACATTGGATTTATAGACTATGAAAAAGCATTTGACAGCATTGATATGGAATCTCTCTGGAAATTGATGGGGCACTATGGAATCCCATAGAAAATTATCAACTTAGTAAAGGCAACATATAAAGACATGAAATGTCGAGTTCTTCATGAGGGAAAGCTAACAGATGCATTTGAAATAAAAACAGGTGTGCGACAGGGATGTCTTTTGTCACCTCTCTTATTTTTACTGGCTATAGACTGGATTATGAAAACAGTAACTGCTAAAACCAAGAATGGAATTCAGTGGACCCCTACAAAACAGCTTGATGATCTGGACTTCGCTGATGATATTGCTCTTCTGTCCCATTCACGGAATCAGATACAAGATAAATTAAATATACTTAATGCGAGATCACAGCAGCTTGGTCTGAAAATCCATAAAGGAAAGACAAAGATAATGAGAATAAATCAGGCAAATAGTAATGTGGTTTCTCTTAATGGCACCCCACTCCAAGACGTGGAGTCGTACACCTATTTAGGCAGTAATGTAGATAAAGATGGAGGAACTGATAGAGATATTAAAATTAGAATACAAAAGGCAAGAGGGGCTTTCATAGCACTAGGGAATTTGTGGAGGTCAAAAGAAATTAAAAGAAATACTAAACTAACATTTTTTAATTCTAATGTCAAATCAGTACTATTGTATGGGGCGGAAACATGGAGAACAACCAAGGCAATTACTAATAAATTACAGACATTCATTAACTGGTGCCTGCGCAGAATAGAGGTAAGAAAATGGTATGATAGAATAACTAATGTAGAACTTTGGGAGAGAACTAAACAGGCTCCAGTGGATCAGGAGGTGAGGAAAAGACGCTGGCGTTGGATAGGGCACACACTGAGAAAACAGGAGAACAGCATAACTAGAATGTCTTTGCATTGGAACCCACAGGGGCATAGGAATAAAGGAAGGCCAAAAAACACATGGAGAAGAGAGCTGGAGAATGAGGTTAGAAAGATTGGGAGGACATGGGGAGAGCTCCATGCAATGGCGAAGGATAGAACGACTTGGTGTGAGTTGGTTGAGGGCCTATGCTCCATTGGGGGATAGAAAGGCAGAAGAAGAAGACACGTTAATAGTTCAAAAATACTGTCTACACATTTTAATAATATTATGATACTGTTTATTTGTACTAGTATCCACCAATTAAAAAAGCTATATCAAAATCTGCCTCAAAAGTTTAATCCATCGGGGGCTGTATTTATAGTAATAGGTGGCTGAAAGGGATGTCTTAACAACACTCCTTGTACCTTATATTGATTGTACATACTCTCTCTCTCTCTCTCTCTCCCTCTGTCTCTCTCTCTCTCTCTCCATCTCTCTCTATCTCTCTCTCTCTCTCTCTCTCTCTCTCTCTCTCACCACTGTTCGTCAATCTCTTTATATTGTATCCTCGCTTCTGTCGATATCTAAATCTCGCTCTCTTGCTTTTGAGATTTCCTTCCGGTACGACTTGTAATTCTTTGAATGTGATCGAAATATTTAACGTGTTTTTAATTTCTTTCGGTTAGCAAATCTCTGTTTATTCATGGTCTTCGCAGAGCATCTGTATACCCCCACCTTTTCGCAGGCCACTATGAAATGCCATAAGTGTACCCAACCATTTTACGAGCCACCAAGAAATGCCATCTGTGTACCCCACCCTTTTCCTGGCCACCATGAAATGCCATCTCTGTACCCCACCCTTTTCCGGGCCACCATGAAATGCCATCTGTGTACCCCACCCTTTTCCTGGCCACCATGAAATGCCATCTCTGTACCCCACCCTTTTCCGGGCCACCATGAAATGCCATCTGTGTACCCCGCCATTTTCCAGGCCACTATGAAATGCCATCTGTGTACTCCACCCTTTTCCGGCCCACCAGTAAATGCCATCTGTGTAACTCACCCTTTTCCGGGCCACCATAAAATGCATCTGTGTTCCCCCCACCCCTTTTCCGGACCACTATGAAATGCCATCTGTGTACCCACCCGTTTTCCGGACCACCATGAAATGCCATCTGTGTACCCCACCATTTTCCGGGCCACTATGTAATGCCATCTGTGTACCCAACCCTTTTCCGGGCCACCATGTAATGCCATCTGTGTACCCCAACCCTTTTCAGGGCCACCATGTTATGCCATCTGTGTACCCCAACCATTTTCAGGGCCACCATGTTATGCTATCTGTGTACCCCGCCCTTTTCAGGGCCACCATGTTATGCCATCTGTGTACCCCACCATTTTCAGGGCCACCATGTTATGCCATCTGTGTACCCCAACCATTTTCAGGGCCACCATGTTATGCCATCTGTGTACCCCGCCCTTTTCAGGGCCACCATGTTATGCCATCTGTGTACCCCACCATTTTCAGGGCCACCATGTTATGCCATCTGTGTACCCCAACCCTTTTCAGGGCCACCATGTTATGCCATCTGTGTACCCCAACCCTTTTCAGGGCCACCATGTTATGCCATCTGTGTACCCCAACCATTTTCAGGGCCACCATGTTATGCCATCTGTGTACCCCAACCTTTTCAGGGCCACCATGTTATGCCATCTGTGTACCCCAACCATTTTCAGGGCCACCATGTTATGCCATCTGTGTACCCCGCCCTTTTCAGGGCCACCATGTTATGCCATCTGTGTACCCCACCATTTTCAGGGCCACCATGTTATGCCATCTGTGTACCCCAACCATTTTCAGGGCCACCATGTTATGCCATCTGGGTATCCCACCATTTTCAGGGCCACCATGTTATGCCATCTGTGTACCCCAACCTTTTCCGGGCCACCATGTTATGCCATCTGTGTACCCCAACCATTTTCAGGGCCACCATGTTATGCCATCTGTGTACCCCGCCCTTTTCAGGGCCACCATGTTATGCCATCTGTGTACCCCACCATTTTCAGGGCCACCATGTTATGCCATCTGTGTACCCCGCCCTTTTCAGGGCCACCATGTTATGCCATCTGTGTACCCCACCCTTTTCCGGGCCACCATGTTATGCCATCTGTGTACCCCACCCTTTTCAGGGCCACCATGTTATGCCATCTGTGTACCCCAACCTTTTCAGGGCCACCATGTTATGCCATCTGGGTACCCCACCATTTTCAGGGCCACCATGTTATGCCATTTGTGTACCCCAACCTTTTCCGGGCCACCATGTTATGCCATCTGTGTACCCCACCATTTTCCGGGCCACCATGAAATAACATCTGTGTACCCCACCCTTTTCCGGGCCACCATGAAATAACATCTGTGTACCCCACTCTTTTCCGGGCCATCAGGAAATGCGACATATTTTTCCGTTTATTCCTATATTCTGTGGGGAACCGCAGTGGTCTAGCGGCTAGACACTCGCCTGGGGACTGGAAGTTCGTGGGTTTGGGTCCTGATAGAGATGGACTTCTGTCAAAAAAGACTTTTTCTCCCAAGTCGACCCAGCCTTGAAAGGATACCAGGTGTAGCCCTGGGAAGCAAAGGGACTGGCGTGATGTTGACAACATCACCCGTTGAGTGCCGATTAGTCCATAAAATATAGGTCTAGCCCTATATGCCCAGTATGGCTGAAGGCGTGCAAAAGGGTCCTTTGCAGAGACTCCATTCGATCTATAGTTGCTTGCTTATGGTCCAGATTTCTGCTTCTTATTTTAGTGGGGTGTTTATCTCTCTAGGTGTCAATAATGTGTGCATTTTGTTGAATAGATTTTTAAAAAAATCCTTTTTCTGCCTAAAAAGTTAAATGAATATTGTCAAAAATAACTTTTTGCTCATTTTATTTTTTTAATGATAGTCATCACCAGTGTATTCATCAATTAACTATTGCATATATATGTCTATAAGGAAATGTTGAAATTTCAAGACAGCTTTCTTATCATTTCCATTTTTATGTTCCTAGCCACCCATGTATCAACGAATCCTCAGCGTCTTCCAAAGAGGAATCCAAACTGAAAGAAGTCCAAGAGATGACGTCAGATATGTTATTTTTCCTGAATCTGACCAATTACTGCCCAGGCATTTTCACTTGCCTCATCCTGGGAGCCTTTTCCAACAGAATCAGTAGAAAGTTGCAGCTAGCGATACCCATGTGTGGCTACTTGACTAAATGCGTAGTCATTGCTGTTGTCGTTGGGTTTAATCTGCACGTCAACTGGTTTTTCCTGGGTTTCGCAGTTCAGGGAGCACTGGGCGATGTAAGCATTTCTTTTTTATATTAAATTAATGTTTAAGAGGAGCAGGAGTGTACATTGATCATCATCACTTCCTTGCCATTTGGCGTAGGCGCTTAGGCATCTCCACAGATCACGATCCCTGGTTGCCTGGAACAGCTTTCTTGATGACATCCCTCTATGCCATCTTTTCAGCCCATCCAGCATTATCTCTCTTGGTCTACCTTACCGCTCTTTCCACTGATCTTTCCAGTTGTCACGATGTTTTCCTATGCTTCTCTTCTCATTACTGTTTGTGTCTCCTTGATATTGTTGTATAAAGAGATCTACTCTCTTTAGCTTCTTTCAAACAATATTTGTTGTTACTTTGGACGTCCAAGGTATTCGTCAAATTCGTCCCAGAAACCACTTTTAAATTCCTCTTAATTTGTTCACTGACATTCCAAGATTCGCTGTCATACAGCAGAACAGAAACTATGTGTGTATTGAGCTTCCAAATAATACCTGATATACAGCCAAAATACCAACAGGAAAGCACTGTCAGAACCATGATGTAAAAGTTCAAGCCAACAAATTAGCAGCAGTGAAACTATTAATCATACGTCATGTTTTACAACCCGTTGCATTTCTGACAGAGTCAAGCGCGGTAATCACAGATGTGCCTCGCTAGCCAACCGTCCAGATTGTGATTTGTTTCTAAATCTCAGAATACTATCAGCGATCAATCAAATGCCGCAAACGCTACTGGTGTGAAAAAGGTGCTTTACTTACTACTTTGATGTCTACAAAGACTACCAGGCCCCTAAATTGTCTCTCATTAGCCTAAGCCTAACTGCGACCCTAGGAGCCTCCTTGGTGTAGCGTCCGGACACTCGCTTGCGGATCCGAATGTCGTGGGTTCAAATCAGCATGGAGCGCCAGACATTTTAATCCACAACTTTGTCTTCGAGGTCGACTCAGATTTAAATGGGCACTAGGCAAAGTCCTGGAAAGTAAAAGTGACCGGCGAGATGTTGACCACATCATCCTTTGAGGGCCACCGATTGGTGTATTAAAAAAAGAAGTCTAGCCCAGTGATTCTCAAAATTCCTAACGACGCGACCCTTTAATACAGGTCTCATGTTGTTATGGCCCCTAAACATAAAATTTGTTTCGCTGCTACTTCATAACGTTAGTGAATATGAGTCTTTCGATGGTTTTTGGCAACCCCTGTGGAAGGTTCGTTCGACTCCTAACAGGATTCGGGTTGAGAACCACTGGTCTAGCCCTATATGCCGGATGCGCTATTGGCGTTTAACGGGACCTTTACATTTTATTTTACTAAATGAAGACCTGGGCCTTTCCTGCCTTCGTAATTGTTTGACTGAGTTCACTGTTCATTCTTCCTCAGACTTGTGGAGTTTTTCTGGGTATCTTCCTGTACACGACAGACATTACGCCACGTGACAAGACTCGAACGCTGGCCATGTCTATAGTTGAAGGGTTCCGCGGCTTTGTTGCAGCAGGTCTTAACGTAGTCACAGGACATCTGATACAAAGACTAGGTTTCAACATCCCAGCGCTGTTATCAGTCGGTTTAGCACTAATAAGGTAGGTTAACTCATATGTTGGGTCTGACTATCTCGTTTATTAGGAAAAGATATAAACCCGAACAAAAAGTATATTAGCAAGCTTTACAATATAACAAATACAAACAAAACGTGAACGTTGCGGCTTTGGAGCCTTCATCAGCACTTACAAATCAAACAATACTTCACAGATACACAAAATCACTTAGCTGGTATATCGAAGCAGCCGGGTCGGTGGTTTCTCGGCAGAATGCCTACACGTGTATGGGAATAAATACACCCTGTGGAGTACCAGGGGCCATAACTAGGGGGTTAAAGATAAAACTGTGAGGGCAGTTCAATCCCCTATCTCGTTTACTAGTATATACAGTAGTACCTTAGAATTTGAATGCTGCGAAATTGGAACGACTTCGAATTTGAAAGACGCAGATTCTCTGCGGGATTTGTACTAACAAGGTAGGTTAACCTTATGTTAACTTGATATTTGGGGTCTGACTATTTCGTTCATTAGTAAATACAGTGGATCCTCGGAATTAAAATGCTTTGAAATTGAAAAACTTCGAATCTAATAGCATTTTCAAATTTCATCCTGATAGAGCCCTAGTTAATAGGTGTGTTGACTTATTCAACGATAACATTATTGAACATTTTATCAAAAATGTATTTTGGTCGCCAACATCAGTGCACCACGGAACGCGACAATTTATCAAGGGGAAAATAATTCACTACAAAACATAATCTGTTCCGAGATGGCGATCGAATTCCAAATCGTTCGAGTTTCAAACCAATTTTCCCATTGGAAATAATGGGAACTAATATGTTCCAGGGACCAACAAAGGACTCAGGACATAGAAGGTGAATTGACTATGAAAGCACAGGTGGCTGGATAATTGGCTAGAGAAGTTTTTCCCAGACTTGTCTTGGTCGCGGTGCCTTTTTTCAATTAAAATTTGTCCACGGCGCCCTAACCGAAGTCAAAGTATGACTATTTGTATCTTAGTAACATTTATTATGAAGCTTTTACAATATTTCATGGCGCCCCTGTGAAGAGGTAGCGGCTTCCCGGGGCGCCACGGAGCACAGTTTAGGAATAACTGGGCTAGAGCAAGACTTTCAGGCCTGCCGTGAAGAGATCAATGATCTGTGATGGACATGCTGATTAAATGATCGATTGAATGATTGATTGATTGATGTGTCTTTAATTACAGACACTTGTCATATCAACCCTATTAATCTAAATTATTCGTTTAACTTATGTTGTCCCATGATGTCTCTGTTGAACTCCCTCAGACTAAATTATTTATTGACATGGAGCTCAAATTCTGGGGGAAAGGTTAAAGAAACAACCGTTTGATTGTTGGCACACGGTGCATTATTCATCAAGTTTTGACTGGTCTATATTCTATTACAATACAGGTCAAGCATTTTATGAGCCGGTGATTGAAAAAATGGTCCATTAATGTTATCTTTACTTTCTTTTATACTTACCTGGGAGCCGCCGTGGTTTAGTGGCAAGACGCTGTCTGCGGAATCAAAGATCTTGGGTTCGGGTCCTGACGGAGCCGAACTTTTGTTGTGTGATAACCTTTGCTCCCAGGTCGACCCGCCTTGAATGGATACCAGGTAAAGTCCTGCGAAGTAAAGGCGGTCAGCGTGATGTTGACTGCATCACCCACCGTGTGCCGATTGGTCTGTAAAATATAGGTCAAGCTGTATATGGCCAATGAACCTGAGGGCGTGAAGAAGGGTCCTTTTAAATAAATAACTAGCTGATTAAATGGGGTTTACCTACTGACTTTATGGGTCCCAAGGAAAGCATCATGTAACTAATTACAACACAGGACTCTCAAGCAAGAGACCCTTGGTCGACCCCTGTAAGGTGATGACGTTTTTCTGTCGGGGCCAAAATTAAATATCCCAACCTGCCCAGTCGGTGGCGACAGATGTATCCCCGCAGCCCTAAATCCTTAAGCTCATGCTCTAAAAGGGTGGTTAAAAACATACAGTAGCGATTGTTTAACTGTCCTCTGGTACCGAAAACGTTCTAATGGTAGTCTCACAAACTGACTCTTTTCTGACTAGCCCTTTAATACAAAACAACGAGTGCCCTTTGGTCTATAAACATAATAATCTGCCATCATAGGTCTGATATTGCTAAGTCCAAATGTAAGTCTGTTCTCTTACAGTCTGGTCATCACCTTCATGTTACCAGCACGTGAGGCACAGCATCAGTATACTCTTGTAGATGATGATTGCCATCGTTGGAACAACTGGTGGAGACGACTGATTTCACCGTTTACCCGGATCAGAGAAGCTCGCGTCAGGAAACTGGTGCTCGTAGGATTCATTGCCTTTCTTTTCGCTATGGCTGCCTCTGTTGGTATAACTGTGGTAAGTTCCTTCGCCAAGAATACTTCAGTAATTAGGATTTATTTTTTCGAAATAAGGAAACTGGAACATGTTATGACCACATGAAAGATATGTGGAAAAAGATTAAGCGAAGAAGACAACGAGAGAAGATTCTTGACAGCCTTTTAATAATGACGTGGAAGGGGATCAGCACTTGGTATGGAGGGTTATCATCACATTGCATTGAGGGATATCAGCACATGGTATTGAGGAGTATCATCACACTGCATTGAGGGATATCAGCACATGGTATTGAGGAGTGTCATCACACGGCATAGAGGGGTATCAGTACATGGCATGGCGGGGTATCAGCATATGACATGGACGTGTATCAGCACATGGCATGGAGGGTTATCACCACATAGTATGGCGGGGTATCACCACATGGCATGGAGGGGTATCACCACATGGCATGGAGGGATATCAGCCCATGGCATGGAGGAATATCAGCACATGGCATGGAGGGATATCAGCACATGTCATGGTATGATGTCAGCACATGGCATGGAGGAATTTCAGCACATGTAATGGAGGGGTATCACCACATGGCATGACGGGGTGTCAGCACATGGCATGACGGGGTGTCAGCACATGGATTAGCGAGGTGTCACCACATGGCATGACGGGGTGTCAGCACATGGCATGGAAGGGTTTCAGCACATGGATTAGCGAGGTGTCAGCACATGGCATGACGGGGTTTCAGCACATGGATTAGAGAGGTGTCAGCACATGGATTAGCGAGGTGTCAGCACATGGATTAGCGAGGTGTCAGCACATGGCATGACGGGGTGTCAGCACATGGATTAGAGAGGTGTCAGCACATGGATTAGCGAGGTGTCAGCACATGGATTAGAGAGGTGTCAGCACATGGATTAGCGAGGTGTCAGCACATGGATTAGCGAGATGTCAGCACATGGATTAGCGAGGTGTCAGCACATGGATTAGCGAGGTGTCAGCACATGGATTAGAGAGGTGTCAGCACATGGATTAGCGGATGTCAGCACATGGATTAGCGAGATGTCAGCACATGGATTAGCGAGGTGTCAGCACATGGATTAGCGAGGTGTCAGCACATGGATTAGCGAGGTGTCAGCACATGGATTAGAGAGGTGTCAGCACATGGATTAGCGAGGTGTCAGCACATGGATTAGCGAGGTGTCAGCACATGGATTAGCGAGGTGTCAGCACATGGCATGACGGGGTGTCAGCACATGGATTAGAGAGGTGTCAGCACATGGATTAGCGAGGTGTCAGCACATGGATTAGCGAGATGTCAGCACATGGATTAGCGAGGTGTCAGCACATGGATTAGCGAGGTGTCAGCACATGGATTAGAGAGGTGTCAGCACATGGATTAGCGAGGTGTCAGCACATGGATTAGCGAGGTGTCAGCACATGGCATGACGGGGTGTCAGCACATGGCATGGAGGGGTGTCAGCACATGGATTAGCGAGGTGTCAGCACATGGATTAGAGAGGTGTCAGCACATGGATTAGAGAGGTGTCAGCACATGGATTAGCGAGGTGTCAGCACATGGATTAGCGAGGTGTCAGCACATGGCATGACGGGGTGTCAGCACATGGATTAGCGAGGTGTCAGCACATGGATTAGCGAGGTGTCAGCACATGGATTAGCGAGGTGTCAGCACATGGATTAGCGAGGTGTCAGCACATGGATTAGCGAGGTGTCAGCACATGGATTAGCGAGGTGTCAGCACATGGATTAGCGAGGTGTCAGCACATGGCATGGAGGGGTTTCAGCACATGGATTAACGAGGTATCAGCACATGGCATGGAGCAGTGTTAGAATATACCATGGAGTGGTATCAGCACATTGTATTCAGAGGTTATATCACATGGAATGGAGGGGTATCAGCACGCAAGCTGTTGATATCGCTGATTGTGAAGAAGTAACATGGTCCACGCCAGTCGGCAAAGCACTTGATGATGTTAATGCTTTCATAACACGTCTGGTAGATTTGTTTTTAAATGACTAACAGTTAAACAACACGCTGTTTAGACCTTACATTTAACGACAGATTAACTAGACTTTAGACCTAGGGTGAAATGATACACTGTGTAGACATAAAGTTATAAGACATATTAGGACATTAAGTTACGGTATTTTTCCGGTGTATAATAAGCTCTCTTGTTTAACACAAACCAATTTAACCGGCCAATTTGCACTTTGTTGCACGTTGTGCTCTTACCTCGCTTTTGTTTTGGACAAAATATCCTGCTGAGACAGCCAAAACGTTATAATTACTAGGTTCCATATCCTTCGGTGTATAATACGCTCCCGTGTAAAACAGACACCCCAATAGCTGGAAGGAACCCTCACCACCCCTCCCCCCCCCCTCCCCCACCTTCTCGAGAAGAAAAAAATACTCCAATTCAATTCATAAGTCTCTATTCCTGCCAGTTTGCACTTTGTTCCACGTTGTGCCCTTTCCACGTTTCATTTTCCTACTGAGACCGCCAAAACCTTATAGTTATTCCCCCCCCCCCCCCCCCACCCTCACCTCAGAGGTCGATGGAGGTCCAAACTGATGCTTTGCTGGCCTATTGTCGTATTCTTCAGCAAATGTTATCGCCTGGAGTTCTTCCTGGAGTTTAAACTTCCGATGTAGGAATACCCCTTACTATCTGTTCTATATCGCTGGCAAAAATGAAAATCTATGGTACACACAAAGTATGGTCGAACAGCAGCTTATCAGTCGGTGTACAGTCACCGTAGGAGATAAAAGCCGTAGGAGGTTCTTTGGAAACAGCTATTATAGATTGTGCACTTCAGTAATTAGGATATTTTTTTTCGAAATAAGGAAACTGGAACATGTTATGACCACATGAAAGATATGTGGGAAAAGATACAGCGAAGGAGACAACGAGAGAAGATTCTTGACAGCCTTTTAATAATGACGTGGAAGGGTATCAGCACTTGGTATGGAGGGTTATCATCACATTGCATTGTTGGATATCAGCACATGGTATTGAGGAGTGTCATCACATATTATGGAGAGGTATCAGCACATGGCATGGAGGAGTATCCGTACATGGCATGGAGGGGTATCACTACATGACATGGAGGAGTATCACCACATATCATAGCTGGGTGCCAGCACATAACATGGACGGGTATCAGAACATGACATGGAGGAGTATCACCACATAACATGGACGTGTATAAACATATGGCATGGAGGGTTATCACCACATGGTATGGCGTGGTATCACCACATGGCATGGAGGGATATCAGCACATGTCATAGCATGATGTCAGCACATGGCATGGAGGGATATCGGCACATGGCATGGAGGGATATCAGCACATGGCATGGAGGGATATCAGCACATGTCATGGCATGATGTCAGCATATGGCATGGAGGGGTTTCAGCACCTGTGATGGAGGTGTATCACCACATGGCTTATCAGTCGGTGTACAGTCACCGTGGGAGATAAAAGCCGTAGGAGGTTCTTTGGAAACAGCTATTATAGATTGTGCACTTGGTTTAATACGTGATAAAGTGTTTTGAGACAGTGGTACCACAACAACCAACGCACTTTAAATTCTAACTGGTACCGTTCAATTCTCAAATAAACATTCGCAATATATTCATTGAGGTCGATTATGAAAACATTTTTTAATAGCACAATTCAACTCATGCGTTTCATTATTTTCTTTTTCAGATTGAATCGGTCTACCTAATGAACATTCCATTTTGCTTTGATGCTATTACTTTAGGTTAGTATCCAAGTTAATTATCGTACAATATTTTAAATTTCATTGTTCTTTTGTTTAATGTGATTCTATTTCCGACAGATTGGCTGGATCTGCACCACTAGGTGGTAAAGTGATACACGACAAGGCGGATGTTGTCAAAGCCCTTTGGGAACAAGCAACGGAATCAGTAGAGAACGAAGATTATTGTGGCCTTGAGAAAATAAGGCACCTTGGTGTAACCAGAAGGTCTCGACGGCTCACTACACTCAGAGGAAAGGAAAGACGGACACATAACTAGGTTGTGACCGGTACCATCAGTGTGTGTGTGTGTGTATATATATATATATATATATATATCAAATTTTACAAGGGACAGTGATGAACATTCTATGTGGTTTTTGTTGGTACAGGAACGGAGAAACGGTGGGGTGACCCATTTGCTATAAAGTTAGAAATGCGATTACCTGACACCTAATTACCGGAAATTTATATATATATATATATATATATATATATATATATATATATATATATATATATATATATATATATATATATATAATATATACATCTCAACTGAAGGAAAAAGACTTGACCAAGTCAATAAATTAAAATATCTGGGAACAGTCATATCATCAGATGGAATATGTGTGACAGAGATTAAAAGCAGAATAGGTCAACCGAAAGCTGCATTTCAGAAAATGAAAAATATGCTATAAATCGCTCTCATTTATTGTCAGAAGGAGGGTGCTAAAATGTTACAAAGAACCTGTTCTGCTGTATGGCAGCGAATCTTGGAATATCACTGAACAAATTAGGAAACATTCTGAAGCTACAAAGATGTGGTTTCTGAGACGAATGTTACGAATACCTTGGACGGCCAGAGTAACTAACAACAATTGCTTGAAAGAAGCTAATGAAAGTATATCTTTATATACAACAATAAGAAAAAAGAGAGACAAACACTGTTCTTTGGAAAGAAGACAGACATTGGAGAACATCGTGACAACTGGAAAGATCAGTGGAAAAAGGGGTAGAGGCAGACCAAGAGAGATAATGCTGGATGGGCTGAAACAATGACATAAAGGGATATCATTAAGAAAGCTGTTCCAGGCAACCAGGTATCGTGATCTGTGGAGAAGCATGAGCGCCTCCGCCAGTTGACAGGGCACATGATGATGATATATATTGCAGTCTACGCGAATTCTATAGCATATGCAGACATACATGCACAAGTCAGAGGTTAGAAGTACCAAACAAGCAATCTGACATTAGAAATGCAGTTTATTGTCAATGGAAGAAACAGTTTCAACATATCAGTAGTTGCACACGCAGTTGAGCGCATATGACACCACCAGTTCTCTGTCAACAGGCAACTCGCCATTTTCTGAATCTGCATCTGACAACATAAACCTCGTTGCGCAATCTGTATAGATAATCACATCACTGGGGGAAAAGAAAGGGGAAGGGGAAGGGGAAGGGGAAGGAGGGGGGGGGGAATTGTCATGAATCATTTGTTGAGCTTCTGATTCTACAGCACTATCTGGCCAGTCTCTGCACTGACGACTTAACGTCGTGAATAATTGCGGAAAAAAAACACTCATTTGTTTAACCCTGCTGCAGTAACCTTTAATATTTTTTTTTCTTTCGAACACAGGCTGGTATAAGTTTGGTAGAGAGCTGGCGTTCAATGGGTTCCTAGTAGTTGCCGTTCCTTTGTTCTACAACAGCTTACCTGGCATGTGGTTGGCTATTCTCGGCTCCTTGTCAGCCATTTGCGGAATGGTCATGTACTCAACTGCAACCAAACCTGCGGAAGTGTACGCCAGTGAGTATCTCTGCTTGTTTCTACAGATAAGAACAGTTGCAAGGCACCACGTGCAAACGTTCGCATTCCCTAGGTCTGGCAAAAAAAGTAAGAAAATGGTGGGAAAAGGTGGGGTGGGGGTGTTAGGTAGTGACATATTTAAGAGAGAAATGTAATCAGTGTTTAAATTCTGGATGCACCAGACAGCATGAGATAGACACATGTGAGTCCAGTTTTGGGTCGGACCGCACCGTATTGATGTCAAGACGTTTAAGGGACCGAAACATTTGTAGATGTGAGAGGGGAAAGAGGGGGGGGGGGCATACATTTTACCTAAATGCATTATAATGATGATGGTGATGGTGATAATGATGATGATTATTTATTCAAATATTATGTTAACAAATTAAACAAGAAAAATAAGCAACATAATACACACACACACACACACACACACACACACACACACACACACGAGGGGAGGTCATTAAGTAAAGGCAAACTGCATTAATAAGTTTTTTATTACTAGTAATGAACTCGGGCCCAGCTAAACACTAGCTCACCTGTCAATGACGCTAGCTCAGATTGGTCTACGTTAGAGGGATGTCACGGTGTAAGTAAAGTAAAGTAAAGATCCCTTTACACGTCTTTAGGCGCATCGGCCATACGGGTACTGTTTGAAAAAAGCTTTCTGCGTCCCGTTTTAATCGCTGTAGTGTGTGCAGCGGCCTCCGACAATGCTTTTTCCCTCGTAAAAAAAAATGAATTGCTGCTGGTACCTATATGATATAGGTGGGTCACCAGTATGTGTGTTATATATATATATATATATATATATATATAAAGCTAGGGAAAGAGATACTTTCAGGGGTGCCATGATTGATAAATGTTGCAGTTCTACGATGTTTATCGGCCAGTAAATATTGAAATGTAGCGCATATGCTCTTACGTTTAAATATTCTACATATTCGAGAAAGATTGGTTGGAAAACATTGATACCTAATGTTACAACATTCTTATATTGTAATGCTCCAATTATATGAGAACATCTGGTTTGTAAATGAAAACGTTGATTGTTAAAACATTTTTATGAGGTAATGTAAAGGATATTTGATCACTGGCCAGTAAAGATAAAAATGTAGATAGTTTATATGAGTTCCTAGAACATTGTGATGACTGACTGACTGACTTTCTACCCCACTAGGACATCACACAAGCGATAAACACCCGATGACACAATGTGCCAACGTGTGGGTGAGGATCACCGTGGAGAGGTCCCAGAAACCGCGTTCAGCCTTTAAGCCATATTTATGGCCAGGCTATATTGCGGCCCCTGGCAAGAGCCAGAGTAGGGCTTCAAAAACGAAAAATTTCATCCTAAATAGGTCGAGAAGTACAATAGTAATAAAAGACCAAGCAAACATTGTGATGTCATAATCTTCCAGTTAAACTAGGAAGATAGGTTAGTACAAATTAAAACTAATTGCATTAATATTCTTATTATGCAGTGTTACAGATACGTGATTTTGACTGGCCAGTGAAGATATGAACGTAAATAGTTCCTATAAATTACTTATCTTCTACTGTTTCAGTTATTGGTTTGATGATAGGAGAACCAACAGACTTATCTTGTACTGTTTCAGTTATTGGTTTGATGATGGGAGAACCAACAGACTTATCTTGTAATGTTTCAGTTATTGGTTTGATGATGGGAGAACCAACAGACTTAACTTCTACTGTTTCAGTTATTGGTTTGATGATAGGAGAACCAACAGACTTATCTTCTACTGTTTCAGTTATTGGTTTGATGATAGGAGAACCAACAGACTTTTCTTGTACTGTTTCAGTTATTGGTTTGATGATGGGAGAACCAACAGACTTATCTTCTACTGTTTCAGTTATTGGTTTGATGATAGGAGAACCAACAGACTTATCTTGTACTGTTTCAGTTATTGGTTTGATGATAGGAGAAACAAACAGACTATCTTCTACTGTTTCAGTTATTGGTTTGATGATGGAAGAACCAACAGACTTATCTTCTACTGTTTCAGTTATTGGTTTGATGATAGGAGAACCAACAGACTTATCTTGTACTGTTTCAGTTATTGGTTTGATGATAGGAGAACCAACAGACTTATCTTCTACTGTTTCAGTTATTGGTTTGATGATAGGAGAACCAACAGACTTATCTTCTACTGTTTCAGTTATTGGTTTGATGATAGGAGAAGCCCTGCCTGTAAACATTATAAGGGGAGAAACTTCTAGACTGCTGGCTTCAGAAACACAAGGTCAGTAAAGAAGAGGTTATTCCCCTTAGTCTACTACACAATTAATAATACATACATATTTACATATATACACGCGCGCGCGCACACACACGCAAGCACCCAAACACACAGACATACATTCGCACGAACGCACGCACGCACTGACACACACACACCACACACACACACACACACACATATATATATATATATATATATATATATATATATATATATATATATATATATATATATACATGTATGTATATTTCGTGTGTGTGTGTGTTTGGTGTACGTGTGCGTGTTGTGATGGTGATGGACTTAACATGACTACTAGTTTCATTAATACAGTAATCCACTTTAATCCAGTAATCCTGGCTTTTGCCACGGCCGCAATATAGGCAGGCCATAAGTATGGCCAATTGTCTGAACGCGGTTTCTGGGACCTCTCCACGGCGATCCTCATCCACATGGTGGCACTTTGTGTCATAGGGTGTTTATCGCTTGTGTGACGTCCTGGTGGGGTAGAAGGTCAGTCAGTCAGTCATGACAATCACATGTAAAATTTGCAAACCTGCGATATTCCTCTATCACAGGGCCACTGCTGGCGGTGTTTGCAATGCTAGAAAACATTGGATACGTGATGGGGATTCCAGCCTTGCATGTCTACAGAGCAACCCTCGGCTTCTTCAAACAGCTTGTCTGTGTTGTGTGTGCCAGTGTGACCGCTGTGAATATAGGTTTTCTTCTGTAAGTATGCCTTTCACTACAAGACAACGTTTTAGTAGCAGGTGATTGGAAATATAGATGTTTATCAATAATGCTAACGTCTATCTTTTCATTCTTTTTGTTTTCGAATCAACTTATCGGCACTGTGTATGCTAGTGTGACAAGAAAGCTTTGCCATACAACACAACTAGCAGTCAGTAAATAACAAAATTACTGACCAGATCAGACCGTTACGGTGTAAGTTTGGCAGAAAACCGCAGGCCATAAGTGTCAGACAGGACGGGTACTGCAAACTCAAACTGCACCTACATCGTGTGAGTCTTCCTGACTCTGCCAGGTGTAGCTGTCGGGCGCTAAAGCTCCAGAGCATGTCTTACAAGCCTGCAAAGACTTTTGGTCAAAGAGAACAAATCTGACCCTCAGATACGACAATACAAGATATAGGGTGCCTGTGAAGACCTCGAACTAACCGTCCTGGTTGTTATCCATGCTGGCCTACAACTATACCAAACTAGGACATCACTCATTTGATAAACACCCGGTGACACAAAGTGCTACGATGCGGATGAGGATCACCGGTGAAGAGGTCCCGGAAACCCCGTTCAGCCGTTAGGCCATATTTCAAGCCCGACTATATTTAGGGCCTCCGGCAAAAGCCAGTGTGGGGCTTCAAATAAAGAAAAATTGCATCCAATAAAAGGATGATGAGGTTATTATAGCTGCAGAAGAAGAATTTCAGTCCAATTCGAAACATGTATAGGAAGCTGTTCAACCTTATAAAATAAAAATAAAAACTGGAGACAATTTTTAAAATAAAACTAAAGGCTACAAAATGTCTGCAGAAGTCGGATATTTCGGCCGAATAGCGCAAATATCACAGCCATGTTGTAAACGGGAACAATGCATTTACATCTTCGGATGATAACAGAAGAATAAAGTATTATTTATTTATTGATTTAAAGTTATTAACCAGAAATGTACACGTTTGTTGTAGCCTATAAACTAATAGTTCTGATTTGACGTTGTTTTTTTTTTTTTTCAAGTTACTATCAAGTTACATGGAAGCGCCATCTGCTGGATGTTCAGTCAAACAAAATACGACAGCGATCTTATGATGCCATTAATTAACTCTATGTGTTGGCACTCAGAGACCTCATTCTTGCATATCCATTCGATAGTGAATGTCTGATTACGATAAAAAAAACACTGTTTATATTAGGGCTGTACCGAATATTCGCTTCATATTCGCTTCGGGGCCGAATAGTGGACCTGTTGACTATTCGGTATTCGGCCAAATAGTTGCGGTCGGACCGAATACGAATAGTAGTTACCTTACACCCGCTTTAGCATACACGGCTTTGATACTGACAACACAGAACGATTGGTTTTGTTGAAAGGTAATGCAGCTTTCCTGCATTAACTAAGCTATCGGTGACAATTTCCAAGTTAAGTTACTTGTTATAATACTTAGGATTCTTTCATTCCTAGTTATTAGTTACCACAGACTGACTGAAGGATGCAAAACATAAAATGGTCATGGAAAGAATATAAACTCCGGCCACACCCAAGTCGATAATATTAAAATCAAACGAACGGAAATATATAAGTACTTGGGTGCAAACTTTAACTGCTCCAACATGATGAGAGAAGAAATACAATCTAGAATACATTCTGGAAATAAAGTATACTATGCCCTTCAACATCTGCTAAAGTCAAAGTGTCTGCGTCGCAAATCCAAGATCAAAATATATAAAACGTTTATAAGACCAGTCGTTTTGTATAGCTCTGAAACTTGAAGCAGGAATAAAAGAGATGAGGCCTTATTACAGGTTTTCGGAAACAGTCTTACGACAAATCTTTGGACCCATCAAAGATGCTAACAGCGGGGAATGGAGAGTGAGAAGCAACAACGTAACACATAATCTGTTTAAATCACCTTCGATCACTGGCATCATGAGAGCTAACATACTAAAATGGTGGGGCATATTGAAAGAATGTC